ACCTGGAGGACTCTGAAAGTCTCCTTACTGCCCCTAGCCCCCATCGCTTCCCTACTGTGCCCCATTCCAGTCCATTCTCTCCTCAGCAACCACACAGGCCTTTTGGAGAAAACTCTGCTTATATCACATCTCTGTTTAACTCCTCCCTGGGACTTCCTATTACTCTTAAGCTAAAAGTCTTATCTATCTGAGCCTGCCTGGGACATCCAGCCCTCAGTGTCACGTCACAGCTCCCCTCTCTTTTCTGGTCCTTCCATGTGTCAAATTCCTCCCTGCCCTAGAACCTTCATATACTGCTCTCTCTCTTGGAAATACTCTTCCCTGGTCTCAGCTTAAATGGACAACCATGGTCTACCCAAAGCTCCATTTATATCTCTGCTTAACAGAGTGCCAAATGATACTCAGAGAAAGTGGTAGAAGTTTTTCCCTTCCTGCTCCACTTTCCTAAGAAAGTGGGGACTTTGCCTTTGCATGTGCTGTTCACACTCTCTAGACACTTCCAGCCTCTCCTTTGTAGCACTTATGAGACCTAATTAAGGCATTACTTCAGTAATTACTTGCTAAATTCTTTCTCCTGGGACAGACAGTGGAAGAGCTCACCTATGTCCAGTCTATTCTCCTTCCAGAGGAGCACTGTATTTCCCAGCCTCCCTTGCAATAGGCAGGACCATGTGACTAGTCTTGGCCAATGGATGGTGAGAAGGGGTGTATGTCACCTCCAGGCAGAAGCAGTGAAAAATCCATGCCTGAAAAAGCCATTCATTCTCTTTTCTCCTGCCATGGTAACTGAGAAGGTCATGAGTTCCAGTGGGTGCAGATCCAAAATGGAAGGGACCCCTCAGCTTAGGTATCTTAGTGACTAAAGCAGAGGAACCATGATGAGCATGTTGCACAAGTGAGCAATGAATGACCCTTATGCTATGTCACTGAGATTTTGGAGTTCTTTGTTACTGTAGCATAGTCTGGTTAAAACAGAGCTCTATTTGTGTAGAGCTGGGGTCTTGTTCACTGCTGCCTCTCCAGAGCCTGGGAACCTAACTGAAACATTGGAGTAGATGCTTGTTGAATGAGTGAAAAAACAGAAAATGTGAGACATGGTTCTTTCCTAAAAGAATTTTCTCTAATCCAAGAGATTGATTCTTACACACAATAGTTAGACCACAATTAGGGGCTAACTGCTAAAAAACGAAAGGGGAGAGGTTAATGGGTTGGAACCGCCATGGAGGGCCTCCTAGAGGAGAACAAAGATTTGCAGAATTGGAGAGGATGACAGCGGGCTTGCTGTCTTTCACCTGGAGGACTCTGAACGTCTCCTTACTGCCCCCAGCCCCCATCGCTTCCCTACTCTGCCCCATTCCAGTCCATTCTCTCCTCCATTCAGCAAACATTTATTCTGATGCAGCATGATGAATGCATTGCCAGCAGTGCGACTGGAGGACCATGGACATCTTGGAAACCAGAGGAAAGTGCCCTTTCCATGCGAAGGACCTAGAATGGCTTCACATAGGAGGTGATGCTTGAGCTAAGACTTGATAAGTAGGTGTTCACTACAGATATAAGAGATGGGGAGGAATGAACTAATAATCCCAGAAGAGGAGACAGCATGAGCAGAGGCCAGGCAGCATGAAGGTGAATGGTGTGTTCAGAGATGGGGTAGCATCTAGTGTGGCTGGATTTGGGGGACAGGGGGATGAGTGCCAGGGGCAAAGAGCTCAGTCTTTCCATTCCTAGCTTCCTGCACCTCACCCCAACTGCCTCCATCCAAATCATATTAATAGCATCTTGGAAGGTTCTGGAAGGATTTTAAGAAAATGTCTAAGTTAAGACCTGAAGGATGAATTGAAGGTGGCCAGAAAAGGTGACACAAAAGGGCAAGGGAGGGTGTTTCAGGCAAGGGAAACAGCATATGCAAAGGCCTTAGAAGCGAGATGGCAAGGCCTGAGATGGTCGCTCAGTTTGGCTGGCTGGAGCCCAGCTTTCCAGGTGGTTAGGGAGGAGACTGGTGGGGCAGAGGGGACTACCCTCCCCTCATAAATCCCTTTGCAAAGGCTCAGCTCAGCACTCAAGGCCTTCAGGATCCTGTCTTTCGTCTCCCTCTCCATTCTAAACTTCTGTGCCTTTGCATTTGCTGTTCTAAGTGCCTGGAATGATGACAATAATAATGAGATTGATGATAACATAACTTTTTTGAGCACTTAGAATGTGTTAGGTGCTGTGACGGGCATTATTTCATTAAATCTCTAAGTAATGCCATGATTAATACCTTTTAAAATTAATTAATGCCTTAATTAATTAAAGGTATTAATTTTCAAATTTATAGTTACCTTTATTTCTTAGAACATTTTTAGATTTATGGAAAAATTGAGAAGGTATTACAGAGAGTTTCCATATACCTCCTCTAATTTCCCTGTGAGTAATACCTTAAGTTACTATTTGTTATGATTTGTTCTACAATTCTTCATAGACTTTCATTGATACATTATCATTAATAACTAAAGTTCATAGTTCATTTAGATAGTTTTTACCTAATGTCTTTTACATTTAGTAGTTATGTATCTTTAGGCTCCTCTGGCTGTGACATTTCCTTGGACTTTTCTTGATTTGGATAACCTTGATAGTTTTGAGGGTACTGGTCAGTCAGCTATTTTGTTGGATAGTCCACTATTGGAGTCTGTTTTTCTCACAAGGCTGGGGTTATGGGTTATTGGGAGAAAGACCACAGAGGTGTCATTTTCATCACATAGTATCAAGCACACATCAACATGATCTTGGCCTTGATCACTTGTCTGAGTAGCAGTCATCAGGTTTCTCCCTGTAAAGTTGCTCCTTTTTCCTCCCTTTCCATACTGTGCACTTGGGGAGGACGTCACTCTCTGCAGCCTACTCCTAAGGAGTAGAGAGTGATGCTCCCCCTCACTGAGCATCTACATAAATCATCTGGAATTCTTCTGCATAGGCAATTTGTCTCTTTCCCCCCATTTATTAACTTATAATCTCATTGAATTTCTCAACAATGGGTTGGTCCTCTGATTATCCTTATTTCTGGAAACTGGAAGGCCTTCCTTTCTTCCCCACCTTGTGGACGTCAGAGCCAATTTCTGAAACCCTCTCCCCCTCTCTGGGAAAAAGAGTGTCCTCCTCTGTGTTCTCCCACCATGCTTTAACATTCTAATTAATTCATGCCACACAGATTTCTTGTGCCCCCTGCTCTGTGTCAGGCACTGTGCTTGGGGCTTGGGGCTTGAAAACAAGCAGCCCCCATAGGCCCTGTCTTTGAGTTGCTCACAGCGTTTGCAATCCTGTGCTAGACTAGGATCTCTGTGAGGGCAGGGGCATTGTCCATTCTTTTAATAGCTGTGCTCCCAGCCAACCAGCGCAGCGTTTGATGTTTAGCAGGTCCTCTATGAATATTTACTGAATTTGAAATGCTTCCTGGAGCACAAACACTAGCAGATGACTGTTTATCTGTGTGCCCCTTCCCCGGGTACTGTGCGCTCCCTGAGGGGAGGGCCAGCCCTGATCCATCCTGGCCCAGCGGTCGGGTGATGGTGGGTGCCATAGAAATCTAAGCCGGTGAAGGGATCCAGGAACCGGCTGCCTCCTCAGGTAGAAGTGAAGTTTGGAAGCTGACACAGCTTGGGAGGCCGAATCAGGAGGACTTGGTGACTGATTGGCTGGGGAGGGTGAGGCGGGAGGAGGAGTCACACAGATGGCTCTGAGGTCTGAAGCCGGGGGACAGCCGGTGCCACCTCTGATAGACTCTGCGAGAAGAGCCGCTGCCAGCTTCAGGCGGTCCTATCCGTTGGGGCCAGGGACGGCCGGGCCTGTGCAAACTTCTACTCACCACCCCAATGTCCTCGTCTTAAAAAAAAAATCTGCCTGGATTTTGAGCACGGTCGTTTGTTATCAGGTGTGAGGGTCCATTCTGGGGGTCCCCTCCAGGCGGCCGTCTCGAGGGAAACCCCCAGGGGCAGCCTGGCACCGCACGGGCTCGGCCTGGACAGGGCGGTGGAACGCCTGGCCCAGGTCCTCAGCCCGCCATCACCCGGGAGTGGGGTGGCAAGGCGGCCGCCGGGCCTGGGCGGGACAATGGCCGCGGCCGCCGGGGCCCCGGGAACCCCCGCGCTGGGGAAGGGGCTGTCCTAGGGCCGGGCCCCGGTGCCCTCCCCGCGCGGCTCGGGCGGGCGGAGGGGGGCGAGGAGTTCCTTTGTGGCTCTGCCTCCGGCGCGGCGCGGGCGGGGGGCGCAGCGCAACTTTGCCAGGCGGCGGCGGCGAGCGCGAGACGAGGCCCCGGGGCCCGAACGGGGCCCCCAGTGCACGGCCCGCCCCCGCCCCCAGCCCGGCCCCCTCCTCTCGCGCGCCGTAGCCAGCGCCCGGCGCTGCCCACTCGCGGGAGCCCCGGGGCCGGACGGGCTGCGCAGCCGGAGAGGCGGGGGCCCGACGCGGCCCCCCCGGAGCCGGGCGCCTGGCGCGGGGGCTCGCCGAGCGCACGGGGGGCCGCGCGGCGCTGCAGACCCAGCCTCCCGCCGCCGCCGCCGCCGCCGCCGCCGCCGCGGCGCTTGCAGAACCCAGAAGTGAACAGCAGGCGACCCGGAAGGTTTGCGCGCGGCTCCGCAGCGAGCCGGAGCCGGAGCCGGAGCCGGAGACCGAGCCCGGAGCCTGAGCCGGAGCCCCAGCCCGGCCCTGCTCGGGCCGCCGGGCGCGGGGCTGCGGCCGCGTCCCGGAGGCGTTGCCAGCACAGCCAGGTCCGTGCGGGCCCGGGGCACGCGGGGAGCGGGCCCAGCGGCGGCGGGCGCTTGCCCGCGGGAAAGTTGCGCCGAGTTGCGGGCGGGGGCCGGGCCGGAGCGCGGGCGCTGTCAGCGCGGGCCGGGGCGCTCTGAGGGCCCGGGGCAGCCTGCGCCTCGGGCCCGGCCCGGAGCGGCGGCGGCAGCGGCGGGGCGTGCGGGGTAGGAAGTGTCTCCCGCGGCGTGTCTGGGGCTGGTCTCCGAGTGTGTGCGTGTGTGTGTGTGTGCGCGCGCGTGTGTGTGTGTGTTTTTCTTAAGCCGGGCTATTCAAACCCTGCTGCAATTCTCCGGTAAACAATGATTCACGGGGCTTAATGCAAATAAACGGATTGCAAACGGCGCGGTTCGCGCACTTTGCAGCCGGCCCGGTGGAGCGGCCAGTGCCGGATTTCTCCCTTTTTTTGCAGATCTGCAGAATATGGCGTCCCTGTCCTGTTTTAAAAATAAGCCAGGCTGCCATTTTTGTTTTTCTTTTGTCTGAAAATTTTAATAAAACTGTCTGAGAATGTGGGAGAGGCGGCTGGAAGCAGAGGGGGCACCCGAAGGGTTGGCTTTTTTCCTTTTCTTTGGCGAGAGCGGCGAGCCTTTCGGGGAGGTGAGACACAATGCAATTGCACTTTAAAGAAAAAAAAAAGGGAAGCTGCCGGGCGATTTTGGGGGGGGAGGGCTGGGAATTTAAAGTTGACTCCGAAAGTTTGCTTTGCTTTTCTTCTTTCTTTCCTTTTTTTTTGGGAAGGCAGTGAAATGCCGCGAAAGGATCTCAAGGCCCATTTCTCCCCCAGCCAGCTGCCTTTGCAGGATTTTTGGGAAAAGTTAACTGCTGGTTTCCTCAGAGCTGCGCGGGGCCTGGGGGAGTCGGGGCGGGGGGGATGTGGAGGGTTGGGGATGGGAGTTTTGGGGGAACTGGGAAACATTTTTTGGAAGGGGCTTATAAACATGGCATTGTAAGGAACTAGATCCTCAGATCTTGGGGAGAGAGGGCCGGCAAGAGGGGCTTGGAGTGGGCCCAGGGTTTCCAGCAAAGACCCCTGGCTTGAAGAAATAATCCTGCTGTCCCACAACCCTGCCCTGGAGCAGTGTGGAACCTTCGGGAGCTATGTGTGTGGCAGTGGGCCTGTCTGCTTCATGGGTGGCCAGGATCCCCCTGTAGGCGGAATCCGGCCCAGGCCTTGGGGTGACCCTTGGACCCTCAGGCAAGTGGGCTTGGCTCTTTGCTGTTGGAGAGCCTCCTCCCCAACCTGGTGGACCTTCTGCCCCCAGAGGTGACAGCTGGTGGTAATGACTCCCTGACCCCACTCTATGGTGAACTTTGGTTGGGTGCAGGCCTGCAGCCCAGTGGGTCCCATCTGCGGGGAGGGGCAGGAAAGGTAGTCTGGTTTGCTAGTCCCCCTCGGTGTGAGCCTCACCCCTCTGTAGGCTCTTATTCCTTTCTGCCACTCTTGCCCTGCACCCTGGAGGTGGAAGCACTTTGGATTTCGGTTAAGTTCCTGAAGTATCTTGCTGGACAGGTCAGGGCCTGTTGGCTCTGCAGGTTGCTGAGCGGGGGTCTGAAGGCCAGGCCCACAAGGTCTGTGGTGCTGTCCAAGGCACTGGGGCAGTGTTGGGCCTGACCTCTCCCCTGCCCCCTATGCCAGCATTTCCTGGAGGGGAGACCCTTCTAGTCTTACTCCTGGTCTGTGTCCTGGCGCCAGTAGACAGAGTCAGCTCCCAAAAAACAGAGTCGGGAATTGAAAGTTGGGGTTAGGAGTTCAGGGCTGTGGAACTTGGCATGCCTTGGCCAGAGGGTATCAAACCAGGTGGTTTTTAGATGGAGGAACTGAGGTCCAGAGAGAGGAAGTGACTTGCCTGAAGTCACACTACCAAGTAGGAGACTGAGCCCAGGACCTTGGTGTTCAGACTCCCACTGCTGGGCTCCCTCCGAAGTTCTCCACTGGGGGGCTGAACCCCTGAAAGATCCATTTTGAACAGAACTGGACTAGAATGGGACAGCATGATCCTTCACTCCCTCCTACCCCTGCCATCATAATCCTCCCTGAGAGAATTGAACTTTACAGTTTGCACAGTGTGGTGTGGTGGTTATCACACCAGGCTCTCCCAGAAACTCAGTTGGAGTGAAATTATCCCAGTAGGGATAATGAACCTCATTATAAGGAAACCAAGACTCAGAGAGGTTGAACAGTGGCAGAGGAGGCTTAAACTCAGGCCTGCAGGCTCCTCACCTGGCCTTTTCCCAGGTGGACTTTGGTGCTTGTGGGAAGGAATCTTCTAGGTTTTAGTCTCTCTAATTCTTCTGCTGAACCCAGTGACGGCAAAAATCCAGAGGCCCACCCCACCCAAAGAAAGTCAGGGTTGAAAAGGCTCATGTCAGGAGGTTACCTGGGCTCAGAAAAGGGAAGCCACTGGCTGTAAGTCAGTGATTCAGTCAGGTCTCAGAACCAGACCCTCATCTCATGCCTTCCTTCCTCTGTAACACCCAGAGGGACAGTGAGCCTCTCTACCCATTGCCAGGCTGCACAGGCCCCAGGAGGGCAGGAGTTGCTAATGGGTGGTGGTGCTGGTGATGGTGTGGAATAATGGCTAGCACTCCCTGGAGACATAGGCTTGTCCCAGGGACTGAGGAATAGGCTATCTGCAGTCTTGGGGATTGGAGGCAAGCTGGTCCAATGTGGAAAGGAGGAAGCAGGTGTGTGGGTGAGGTGGGGACTGGGTCTCAAGTCAGCCTGGCCCTAGCCCTTCCCTGAGCAGACACTTTCCTGCTTATCCCTCTGTAAAATGTGGAGCCATTCATTCCTTCTTCTACCATGGCTGTTTTATTCATTCATTTGTTGCCACATTATTCCTTTATTCTTTCCTCATCCATTCATTAGTTTATTGGTTAGTCATCTCAGTAGTCTATCCATCTGTGCTTCCATGCAATCCTTAGCTCACCCAGCCCACACTGGACAGACATATGAGCTACAAGGGTAGTCCTCCAGGGCTCTAAAGCCAAGGAAGAAGAGGTGAGACCGCAGGTGCAGGAAGCACTAGCCAGGGCAGTGTTTGCTGGGCACCTGCTTGAGTTCCCAGGGGAGGTCTCTCAGAGAGTGGAAGACTTGAAAACACCTAAGGAGTTCTATACACCATCATGATGATAGACCTGGGTCCTGAGATCAAGTCCTATTGTGTCACATGGCTTCTGTGACTTTGAGCACATTCTTTCCGTCTTTAAGCCTCAGTTTCCTCAACTCTAAAATGGGGTGCTTTCTGTGAATCTCTCATGGGTTGTTGGGAGTGATATCAAGACAGTGTATGACATGTCTCCTCACCCTGGCCAGGCCTGTGGTGGGAGCTCAGTATGTACCCACTGAGTTATAAGGATTGTTGATTACTGTCCTGGGCCCTGCCATCATTTTGAGAACCATGGTGGTGGTTTCAGAATGAGACAGATGATCTGGGCACCCTGCAAGCCCTGATCTGCTTTGTCATTCCTCTGCTGAAACTCTTCAAATGTTTCCTAGGCATTTAGAAGAAAAAATATCCAAAGTACTTTCTGGGCTGTGAAGGGCCTATGAACCTCTCACCCTCAGCTCCCTGCATCCCATTGCTACCTTCAGCCACACACCAGTTTCGTTCTGCACCTTGAATTCACAAAGCCTGGTGGCAGGGCCTTTGCACATCCTTCCCTCCCTCCCCCACGGCTTTTTTCTGAGTGTTCGCATGGCTGGCACCTTCTTGTTTCACAGGTGTCTACTTGAATGTTACCTCCTCAGAGGGTCTGCCTGGACCACTTGCTCTAAGATATCTTCCACTCTCTCACATCAGCCCCTTTTTATTTTCTCTTGTGGCTCTCACCAGTGTCTGAAACCTTCTCATTTATTTATTTGCACTTCTTCCCTGCCTACACCACTAGAACATGCTGAAGTGCCATGCATGTGAGCAGGTGGTTCTGGCGTGGTGTGGCTGGGGATTTTGTAGAGGTGAGGAAACGCTCGGGAGTCCAGGTGTGGCAGCAGTCCTGATGGCCAGGCATTGCCCGGGAGATGAAGTTACACCGAGGGCTGTCTTCTCCTCCCCATCGGGAGACTCAGGGCTGTTGTTAGGAAATAATGAGATGATTAAATCATGGAATCTAAGAATCCTAGTCTCTTCCAATCTCAGAGCTTTAGCATCTGAGAAGCTTTCCAGCTCAGAACCTTTGACACTTGGAGTCTTAGCATGATAGCATGATCCAGTCTTAGGTTTAGAATCTTACCAAGTGGACTCTCACCACCTTATTTAGCATCACAGAGTGCTCCTTTGTACTTATGTTCTTAAAGCCTTTATAAATTTAACATATTTACAGGTGAGGAAGCTGAGGCACAGAGAGATTTAGGTAACTTGCTTCATGGAGCAGTTGTTGGAATTTGAAGCTAGCACACTAGGACTCCTTAGAATCTCTCAGCCCAACCTCACTGGACCCTTGCACAGAGCAGGGGATTCTTTCTCATACCCTTGTTAAAAGGGCTTCTGATCTCTGCCTAGAAACCTCCCTTTAGTGAGCTCCCTCCTAACCAGGCCACCTAGCTTCCTGTTGTCAGAAAGCTCACATTGCTAGGAAGTTTTTCTTCTTTACAAGGCGTAAAGTGCGGCACCTCCTTTGTGAATAATGCCTGGGAAGTGATGTTAGTGTCATGGTTTCCCAGTGCCTTTGACTTTGTGAATTCCTGGTTTCAGTAGCCTCTTTCTTCCCACTGGGTTGTGGGAAGAAAGGCACACAGCCTCAGTGCAGTGTTGAATGTAAGAATGAATGAATGGGTGCATAAAGACCTCATGAACCCTCAGGATTTCCGAGTTCCTATCTCTCTAGCCTGGTGCTCCGCACTCATCCAGGGGTAACTGGTCAGGCTTGGTGTGCTCAGGAAAAGGAGACAGTGTTATCTCTCCAATAAAGTCTGTATCTGATGACATTTTTATATGCAATTCTTGGAGAATCATGTGAGATCTAAAGTCGTGCACTATTAGGAGAGAGGTGGATGTCCCAGATCATGTAGCCAAACTTCGTTCTACCTGTTGGGGAAACTGAAGTGCAAAGGGAGAGGAGCAGGCCTTGTCCAAGGCCGTGTGCATCTCTGTCTGCCCAGAGGCTGCCACAGTATCTGCCTCGGGGTTCAAAGGCAGGGGAAGGCCCTCAATAGAACTGCTTCTTCTTCTCTAGCAGATAAGCTACCCCTGTACAATAGGGGCAACATTTTTGTATGCACAGGGTGTGCCTGGCACTTGGGGGGAAATTGAGGAAGCCAGCTGCATTGGGAGTGAGTTGGGGCCATGGTGATGCAGATGGCTTTCTAGAACCATCTAGGGCTGGAACTGGGCTTTGGAGACTGGGTAGAATTTGGGGGAGGTGGCTGAACAGGGTCTTTAATGGATATGGTGTATAGGGAAGGCCAAGGGATTTGGCTCTGGGGCCTAAGGGGTCCTGCCTTGTTCCCCACCTCATCGATGTGTTCACAAGGATACCCTTGGTGGGGTCCCCACCATCTGTGTCCTTTTCTGAACTTTGGGCAAAGACTTTAGGATTCTAGAGGGGATAGTCTAGCTGGCCATTCCAGGTTCTAGGGCCCTGTGGGGGGACACCTG